TAGAGCTGAGGTCTCGCCAAGTTGCCCAGGCGGGTCTTGAACCCACGGGCTCAGGCAATCCACTCACCTCAGCCTCCCAAAGGCACCGGATTACAGGCTGAGCCACCGAGCCAGCTTGTAATCTAAATTTAACACAGGATTCTAGAGGCAGAAACTTACGTGGATGAAACTGATCTCAAAGAGAATCAACAGTAATAAAAGTTCTCTGCACAATAAACTCTCCCTGATACAGATTGAGATTTAGTGAAAAGAATTAGTTGCATGTTCTTAGAGAGCGTGTTCAGTAGAATAGTGTGTGGAAATAATATATAGCAGTATTACTTTTTCATGGAACCAGGTTAGCAGAGCCGGGCCTACAACTGGTCCTGCTTTAAGAGGGATGAATAATATGCAATTAGCTTATCAAACACCTGTCTCAAAGAGGGTTTACCATTTTTCCTTTAATGTATTTGAAAGCATTTTGTTATAAGGTGGAAAACTGCTTCTGTTTACACTACTATTTGCTTAGAAATTCTCTTTAGTACAATAGACTTTGTATTCAGAGTCAAAATATATTTGAGGCCTATCAGGAGATATGCAGTATAATATGTATTGTTTTTCAAGCAGTTGTCTATGCTTAGTCCAACAGTAATTTTAATAACTTCTTAATAGAAGAAAGTAAAATTAGTGCGGCTTCAGAGAATTCATATTCTGTCTTTCAGGGAGTATACACAAAGATTTTATAATTATTGTTTAATCCTTTTGAAAAGAACCTTTTTCATAGGTAACAAAAATCACAAAGGGAGAACAAATATACTCTATAGAGCACCTGTTTTCTTGCTAGAGTTTCCTGAGATGGGCTAATTTTTTCATCATGTGGTAACTTTTTAAAAACGTATACGTTCATAGCATTGCCTGGAGAGAATTCATGCTTTATTCACCAACTAGGCCTCGTGTCCCTATTCTTTGCATTCCACACCTATACCCACCAAGTGAAGTTACAGAAGATAAAAAAAAAAAAAAAATACAAACACCTAAGAATTTCCTCTTTTATGGGTAACTTTCCAACTCGTGTAGATTCCAAGTATTTATGATGTAAGGTTTATGGTTTCTGTGGCTTTAGGAAAAAAGAACTTAAATCTGTATTTGTAGATCTGGTGTCCAGCAAATAAAGTGTATGAAATCATCAAAACTGGAAGTTAAGCAGTTCTAACGTAGAGAAAAGTTAGTCGAGTATCTGATGGACGTCTCCCCTGCCTGGCGACCCTCAAAGGTGACTCAAGGGTCCGGGTCCTCGGGACCTGAGGATTGGTGGATCGCATGCGTTGCAATACAAGGCAGGAAGCCCTGGAAGGGAAGACGTTACTGCACTTTAGACGCAAATAGTGTCTGATTTGTCCCTGGCCACGATGCTCAGAGGACTCGGCGCTTTGTCACAACTGCAATATAACCGGGAGGGGGGGGATAAAGCCCCACAGCCCTATTCCTTTGTCCTCCAGACTCCAAGAACTCCGACTGCGGTGGTGACAGATTGGTGACCGGCTCTGAAGGGGCTGGGTGGGAGGCGGGCGCAGGGCAGGTGCCGCCACGCGTCCCGGGGGCCGTCATTGCCCTCGAGGCCTGCGGTGCAGAGACCACCACCCAGAAGGGCGGGGACCGCGGAGCCTCCACCCTGGCCACACTCCCGGTTACCTCGGAGGAGCCCCCAAGATCACTGAGCAGCTGCCCGGGTCAGGTCCCCCAGCGGAAAGGCGGCGACGGCCGCGACATCAGCGGTCAACTGGACAGCCCGTCCCGGGCCGATCTAGGCACCCGTGGTGAGACCACTAGCGCGGGGGGTCCCCAGGTTGGGGAAGATGGAGGGGAGCACGGGGGGGCGGGGGAAGGGAAGGAGGACAAGGAGGGCGCAGGGGAGGGTGGAGGGGAGGGGGCGGGCCACCTCGGGGAAGGCCACGGGTTTACGGCCGAGATCGTGGCGTTCCCATGGAAACGTATCCCTCCGCCCGCGCCCGGCGCGTTCGCCTCTTTCAGTTCTTTCCGCGTCGCCTCTCGGCTGTTTCCGCCCAGCTCCTTTGTGCCGCGCAGAGCGGCGAGACGACGCATGCGCAGAGCCGCCGCCGCCGCGTATATAAGCGCGAAGCCGGCCTCGCCGCTCAGTGCCGCCGGGACCGTTGGCAAGGGAGGGTGTGCGGCAGCTCCCGTGTGACTCGAGCCCTGGGCGCCGCGAGCGAGCGAGCCGAGCACGCGGGCCGATCATCATGTCTCGCTACGGGCGGTACGGAGGAGGTAGGCGGCGAGG